AAAGAAACAAACAAAATGAAAAGGCATACTGAATAAATGAAAATTTATTTGTAAAGCATATATGTGATAAGGGGTTAATTTCTAAAAGGTACAAAACATGCTTATAACTCCATAACAATAAAAAAAATTTTTGATTTAAGAATAGGCTAAAGACCTGAATAGAAATTTCTCCAAAGAAGACATGGAAATAACAACAGGTATATGAAAAGATGTTCAACATCACTTATTATTATGGTAATGAAAATCAAAAGCATAATTAGATATCATCATACACCCATTAGAATGGGTATTATCAAAAAAAATAAGAAAATGTTGACATGGATGTAGAAATATTTTAACACTTGCAAACCACTGACAGAATGCAAAATGATGCACCTAGTATAAAAAACAGTATGAAGATTCCTGAAAAAATTAGATATAAAACTACCACATGATGCAGCAATCTTACCTGGGTGTATATTCAAAAGATTTGAAATCGGGATCTCACAGATATTTGCACTTGTGTGCTCATTGCAACAATCTTCACAATAGCCTTGATGTGAAAACAATCTAATGACTATGGAAAGATGAATAAATTAATAAAATATGATAAATATGTGCAGTGGAATAAATACGTACTACTCAGACTTAAAAAGAAAAGAAATCCTGCACTATATGATAACATTTATGAACTTTGCTGACATTATGCTAAGTGAGACAGGCCTGTCACAGAAGAATAAATACTGAGTGGTTATATTTATGTAAGGCATATAAAAGAGTCAAACTCATGAAAGCAGAAAGTAGACTGGTGATTTCCAGTGGTTGAGTGAAAGGGGAAATAGGGAGTTGCTAGTCAATGAGTATAAAGTTTCAGTTATACAAGATGAATAAGTTCTAGAGATCTGCTGTACCACATTGTGCCTATAGTTAATAATACTGTATCACACAGTTGACCTTTGAAAAACATGGGATTTAGGGTGGCTGAAGCCTCACACAGTTGACAATCTGCATATAATTTTTGGTTCCCCAAAACTTAACTACTGATATCCTACTATTTATCAGAAACCTTACCAATAACATAAACAGTCAATACATATTTTGCATGTTATATGTATTATAAGACTTTATTCTTACTATAAAGTAAGCTAGAGAAAATGATGTTTAGAAAATCACTAGGAAATATATTTTCTATTCACTAAGTAGAAGTGGGTCATCATAAAGCTTTTCATCTTCATCTCTTCACATTGAGTTGGCGGAGGAGGGAGGGAAGGCATTGTTTTTGCTTATTCTAGGGTAGCAGAGGTGGAGGCAGTGGAGGAGGTAAAAAGGAAGACAGGAGAGGCAGGTACACACAGTGTACCTTTACAGAAATACATCAAAATCGCTATTTGACTTTATTGTTTAACCGTTTCTCTAAAAATGTTTCTATATGATACCAATCCTTCTTCCACTGTTTGTTTTTGTTTCCGTGCCCACATTACAGAAGGTTCCTTCTTGTAAAATATGTCAAAACAGTCTTAAATAATCAGAACCCTTCTGCCATATTGTCTAATGTCAATTTGCTTTTGACACTGATTCTTTCATATATTTTTCTCATTAACTGAGACTGGTTTGGAAGCACTTATCTTCATCAAGTTGTCGTCTGTTAATTCCTCTGATGTGGTGCCAATTAGCTCTTGAATGTTTCCAAGATCCATATCTTGAAACTCTTCATACCTTTTTTTGGCCACATCCACAATCTCTTCATAATTTCCTTGAATGATTGTGTTGTGAATCCCATGAAGTTATGCACCGCATCTGGACACAGTTTTCTCTGGTAGAAATTTGTTTTCTTCTTGATGGCTTTTGTAGCTTTTTCTATAAAGATGATGGCAACTACAGTGGTATAATCCTTTCAGACTTATATAATGCTCTCTTTATAGGAGTTCTCTTCCACAGTACAGTACTAACAGTCCTTTCTATAGTATAACATGTGTAATGAGCCTTAAATGTCCTTATGACCTCTGGTCTATAGGTTGAATTAGAGACATAGCTACAGAATTTTTACAGCAGTAAAATATGAACTACAGTTAATTTTACTCAGTTATGACTTAATACTGTATTTTTACTTTTGTTTGCATTTCTCTTGACTGCAAATGGTGTCATGTAAAATCTGTAAGAGCTTCTCTGTGTAAAGTTTGATAAATTTTAACTTTTAATAATAGATTTGTGCATATTTTATTGTAGCAAATGGTAAAATAGTCTAGCATCTATCTATCTATCTATCTCTATATATATAATTTATGCATGATATATCTACTTCTTAACTTTTTTCCAATTTCTAAGCTGTGTAGTTTATCTTCAAATTTCTTCATATTGTCACAAACCTCAAAAAATGTTTCCAATACATTTATTGGAAAATTTATGTATACATAGGCCTGCACCGTTCAAATCTGTGCTGTTCAGAGGTCAACTGCACTTTTAAAAATCTGTTAAGAAGGTAGATTTTAATTGTTCTTACCACAATAAAATAATAAGAATTAAGAAAACACATGCACATGGAAAAACACACACCATTGAACTTCAAAGCACAATTAAATGGTGCCATTACTCTGATTCATAAGGAAACTCACTGACATAAAAAAATATTGACTTGATTTAAAACTATTTAGAAATAAATTATTTTCCAGTATAGACAAATCTTATTTTAAAATTGATTTATGTGATCATATTCTTTCATAATCAACAACACAGACAGAATTCAGGAAATGATTGGTTAAATTAGTAACTCCATATACATGCTAAGTATTTATTTATCACTTGTCAGAAATATAATGATGACTTTTTTGTTTTTTTCAGTGGTTTATATATGGGAACATAACCTAGCTAGATATTACCTGACAGTGTTTCCTTTGGCTAACATACCATCTTAAAAGTTGGAAAACTCTTCATGAAAAATCTTAGCTCTTGGATTTTCTAGAAAATTAACCAGAAGGTCTTTTCAATGCTGGATCCGAAATTCTGCATGAAAAGTACAGGCCAGAGCTGGGGAACACCCAAGCTTTCAGGTGTGTGGAGAGAGCAATTTACTAACAACTCTTTTTATTCTAGCCATCAAACCCTAATTTCCTGTCTTTGACACTCTTTACTCATTTGTGTTATCTCTTTGGTTTGTGTAGGAATTGAAGTTTGCAAAAACATACTTTATAATAAGTTCACTTAATGTTTCTCACTGAGTAGAGAATATGTAATAAGATCTGAACAGCCAGGAGTAGATATTGAATCACCATGAATTCTAAAATGCTGTAATTATTTCTAAACGGAGTGGAGAGACTGCAAAACTATTATCTTAAAGACCTAAAGCCCTTCACCACTTATTTCATACTAATTGATAAAAGCAATTATGAAACTGGAAGCAAATGACTAAATATAATACACACAATGTGTAGTTACAGTAAGTCACATGTCTAAAATGGAAAATATAAAATATCATCAAGTATTTTCTTTAGTCCTGGTGAGATAGAAAATCATATTTGTTTATTCACAAACACCGATCAGTTGTTATTTGTTAAGACATACACCATTCTGTCATGTTCTCAAAAAGATGATGGGTAAGTACACAAATATTTACAGATTCATGTGAGAAGGCTACAATAAAGACAGCTCTTGGTGATTAAAAGGGGCACAGAATTTGAGACCTGTGAAAAATGATTAAGGAAGGGTTATCTGAGAAAAGCCACATATTGAAACAGACCTTTAGAACTATGAAAATAAAAAAAGAGAGAAAAGTTTTTCCAATTTTAAATAAAGGGAAGTGTGAGATTATGGGGCACAGAAATTCAGTCAATCATTACATTAAAGTACAGATATTCAGCAAGAGAGGGAATATAGGGAACAAAATGTGATTAGAAATAAGATGATGAGACCAGCATTTGATAAGTTGAGTTTCAGATAGTTAAAAAAATCTAAGAGAAAAATGAATAAGTAGTAGAAATATCTATTTTTAAAAAATTATTGAAAAATATCCATTACAATTAGTAAATTACATAGAAATTTATTGTGTTTCATTAGTAGCAGAAGCAGATTATACTAGATGAGAAGTACATGGGACATAATACTGTGAGACACTTAGGTGATTTTTTTCTAGGTACTTGGCTTTGAAGATAAATTGAGAAACAGTTAAGTGGAAAATTGTTCGGGAAATAAAAAATGTACACATGTAAATAGATGGGAGAGACTTCAGCGTGTTCACTGAGGAAAAGAGAGGTTGTAGATGAAGAAGAGGCATGAAGATGAAATCTAAACCCCAGTTGGATCTATTAATATTAGCTAAAGATAGATACCTTTTCATAAGTATGGGTTTTATATATATATATATATATATATATACAGTACAGGTACATCTGTAGGAAGGCAGACCTGAAGTTGAGGCAGATATTACAACACGGGCTCTCACTCTTCTATGTAAGGAGAAATAAAGCATGCTCCGAGAGTGAAGATGAAAGTCATAAACTTTATTTAGGTATTCGTTCCTTCATTCATTTGTTGTACAAGCACTCAATAAATATTGCCCTAGGCCAAGCCCTCAGCAAGGACCAGGAAAAATGACCACAACCAAAGTGCACAGTGCTGTCTCTTAAACCACCTCCACCGTTAGTCCAGGCAGCAGCCACAAGGAGCCTTTAGCAAAGCAAACTCTGAGTTCTACACATCAACATCCAAGTCACCATCAACTGAAAAATAAAATGTACTGGACTGGGCAGTCAGTTTTGGGAGAGGCACATTTTAAGTTTGGTTATTTTGGATCAAGTAATCTAAAATAAGTTTGTTAAAAATCTCTTTTTACACTGAGTTTTATAAGCAAAGTATAAATAAGGGTTGAATTTCATTTTATTCTGATTATTAATGCATTTATTTCTTACTTATAATTTTTGAAAAATAGTAAGCAAAGTACTATTGAAAAAGTAAATTTAATTATTTTGAAGAATGGTGTCCTGTACTTTAAATACACTATTATGGTACCTTGTTCTGATTGTACTTACTCAGATCTACAAATCCAATATCCACGTACATTTTAGTAAACAAAGATCCCAGGACAAAGCCAAGAACTAGACCGAGCATTCCTATTCCATTCACGATACCTGTAGGTATTACAAAAACAGTTTAATCAGATGCCACAAATACTTGGTTTTTATTTAACGTGTTTTAAAGAGTAATATTACTTAATACATTTCTCCAAATATTTTTTTCTAATAAGTAAAGAATAAAATTAATGATGCTACTATATCAAAGATAGACCTAGGGAAATGAACAATGCGATTTAATATTTTCTGTTTATTACCTAAGTACAAGGACGAATTTCCTTCTTTAGCAAAATCATCAATGTAAGAAATCCCTAATGGTACTATGGGGGTTTCACCTATGCCCCGAAGCATATTACCCATGAAGACATATATCCACATGTGTGACCCAGATTCCTTCACACAACATATCGAGACAACAGTGTTTTATTTTAAACATTATTTTTAACATTCCTCTTAGAAATTTAGCTACTTTAAACCTTTTGCTATTCCATTTTTTTCTAATTACAAGTGATTCATATTCACTTTGCAAAGTTTGAAAATAAGAAAGGGCACAAAGAAAGCAAGTAAAAAATAGCTATAATCACACTATACAGAAGATCATTTCAAATATTATTCTAGATCTTCTACATTTCTGGTGCACAAAGTATGCATAATATTCTTATGTACATTATCTACTTAAATTTCCAGGTTATTTTTAAGCTGCATACATAGTCATTACTATATTATCACAATTTCCCAATGTTGTTAAGATTTCTTCTATGTTAAAATGCTAATGACTGCATAGTAGTATATTGACTAACAGTTTCCTAATTTGTTTAAACAATCTCTTCTTTTTTAGTTATAAGATGTTTCCATTTTTTTATTCCGTTAAACACAGATGTTGTGGCTATAATTGTTAATAAGTTCTTGTGCACATTTCTGATTACTTCCTTAAGATTTATTTATCAAGAAAGTAGGTAAGTATATTTTTATTCTTTAATATATATTGAAAATTAATCTCTAGAAAGAGATGCAAATTTACACACACTCAGAAATATGTAAAATGTAAAATTTCTTCTATATCATTTTTAATTAAAATTTTGGATATAATTATGATTTATGATTTGTGTTATAATAGGTACAAAATCTTCAAATGCTATGACATTTTGCATTTTTTTTCTGAAGAACAAAGTTACATTATTCACACATTTCTGCTACTTCCTGTTTTTTATTTTAAATGTGTATGTTCTTTTCCAATTACCTACTAAATTTGTTCTCTTTTCTCATCTACTTATAAATGTCCTTCATATACATTGCAGTCCTCTCTTAGTATATATACTAGGACGTTTGTTCCAGGACAACTCATGTGTACCCAAATTCATGCAGACCCAAGTCCTCTGGTTGGCAGTGTGGAAACTACCAATAGAAGTAAGACCTCCATGTGGGTGGGTCTTCCCCTCGGTTTGGTTGCACAAAAGATAGATATAAGTGAACAGCTACAGTTACAACCTGCGTTGTTCATGGGTCAACAGTGTATATTAACAGTATGATTTTGCCTGTATGTAAGGTTTAAATATTTTTCCTATCTGTTTTTAAATCTATTTTCCTAAAAAAATTACATTTTAAATAGATGTGATTAAATCTATAAATTTTATACTTTTAAACTGTCAGTATTCTTACCTCTTTCTACTATCTCAGATGGCGTTCTATTGAGTGATAACATTTGATTAATTAAACAGATTGATAAGTTTGATGTTGAAGGTGTAGTATTGCATATAACCTATCCAAACCCTCCTGTACACTTTATATCATATCTATGTAACTTCTCATACTTAATACAATGTAAATATTATGTAAATAGTTGTTATTCTGTGTTGCTTTTATTTGTATTATTTTTACTATTGTATTGCTACTTTTCCATTTTTATATTTTTTGAATATATCTTGCATCCATGTTTGGTTAATCCATGGATGTGGAAACTGTACATACAGAAAATCATCTACATGTGAAGATATGTTCCAGAAAGACTAAAGATGAGATTTGAAGTCACAAGATTCAAGAAACAGAGGTAAGCAAAGAAACCAAACTGATAATGATGTTCAAATAACTGCTGTTAAACAGCTGCAAAGTTTAACAAAAATATGAAGGATCAGTTTCTTATAAAAGGAGACATTCAGTGAATTAAACTTTAAAACTAACATTCTAAATCTAAAATCCTTGATGATCTCATTGAGCCTGAGAGGTGAAAGAGTGAAGGACATCTAGAGTGTATTATCTCTGAATCACAAACATTTTGAATTCATTTACAGAGATAAGTCTTACTTTGACAATTACTTTTAAAATATTCTTTAGTTAAACATATTGTGAATACAGTTAGAAACAAAAATCATATAAATTATTTGCAGTTTATATAATGGACATTTCGGAGGTCCCTCTAAATAATTAGAAAATGAAAAGAAAAGGGGAAATTAGCAGAGACTATGAGCTAGAAATACATGACACAAGAATAAAAATTTTCAATTATTATATATAGCCACTATTTTTGCAGAAATACAAATTAAAATGAAGGTAACAAAGTGATATCTTCAATGTTCCAAAAGAAAAAGACTTTAAGCCCCCAATTATGTATGCCGTTAAACAGTATAACGTAGTGTAGGTTCCTCCTAGGCAGTCCCTCCCTCCTAAAACCATAAGAACTGTAGTCCTCCCTCAACCTTTCTTCACACTGGGGCACCTTGAGACAAGGGGGGTGAAGCATCACAAGGGATTAATTTGTAAACAATGAGTTTGTGTAGAATTAGAGTTTTTCAACACCCTTACAATAGACATTTTGGGAAGGGTTGTTCTTTGTTAGTAAGTCTGTTCTGTGCATTGCACAATGTTTAGCAGCATCCCTGGCCTCTACCTAGGTACCAGTAGCATCCTCCCTTCCTCAGCTTATTTATGGCAACTAAAGGTCTTCAGATATTGCCAAATTGCCCATGAGGGACAAATTTACATCTCACTGAGAGTCACTGGTGTAAAGCATGTATGAACAGTTTGTTTTTTAACATATGCAAGTATGGTTAGAAAAAAAAAAAAACCGACACTACCTACCTATTTCAAAGCTTCCATCAATTAAACCAGCAAGAGAAGAGGATATTTCAAATCTCCTTTCTATGTGAATGTTGGAAATTTTCATGAAAATTCCACCTAGTGCTTTAGCAATATAGCTGAGTGGCAGGACTGCCAAGAAGATCTGAAAAAAACCAGCAGAAAGTAAAGAGAAAAGAGGTTAATAAAAAACTATATAGTGTTCATAAATACATGGAATTAAAATACCTTTTTATCTTTACTTAAAAACATGAGTTTTATTATAAAAATAATTTTGTTAATAATATTTATTATAAATATAATGCTTTTTATTATAAAAAGCATATGCATTTTTTCCCTATTCAAGGGAAAGGGATAATATCCAAATAAGTAAGGAAATACCAAATAATCCCATTGAAAGGTGGGAAGGGAAATGCAAATTAAATCTGCAATGAAATATTACCTTATTCCTGCAAGAATGACCATTATTAAAAAGCCAAAAAACAATACATGTCAATGTGGATGTCATAAAAGGAGAATGTTTATATGCTGATGAGAATGTAAATTAGTACAACCTCTGTAGAAAACAGTATGGAGATTCCTTAAAATATTAAAAGTATATCTATTATTTAATCTAGCAATCCCACTAATGGATATCTATCCAAAGGAAAAGAGATCACTATATAAAAAAGACACATGCACATATATGTTTATAGCAGCACAATTCATAGTTGCAAAGATGTGGAAATTGCATAAGTGCCCATTGACTAATAAGTGAATAAAGAAAATGTGGTATATATACACCCTGAAATACTACTCAGCCCCTGAAAAGAACAAGATAATGTCTTTTGCAGCAACTTAAATGGAACTGGATGCTATTACTGTAAGTGAAGTAATTCACAAATGAAAAACCAGACACCATGTTTTCTCATTTATATCCAGGAGATGCAGGTCCTAATGCACAATATCAGGCAGAGTTAGATAATAAACTTTGGAGACACAAAAGGGTGAGGTTGGAAGGGAAGGTTACAACTAGTGTACAATATACACTAGTTGGGTGGCAAGTGCAATGAAACCTCAGAATTCACCACTATATAATTCATTTATGTAAACAAATAAAACACTTGTACCAAAAAGCTGTCGAAATTTTTAAAAATTTAAAAATAAATAAAAATTCACAGCTATTATACTATTGTTTGTTCTTTTCAATACAGTTACATGATCCAGGTCAGCCTCTGGCAATCACTGCTTTCTATATCTATGTATGGGTTTGGGATAACAGTTCAGCCTTCAATTCCATATGTCCTCCAGCATAAAATTAGAGTATCTCCAAAGTCATGCTCAACAGAGAAGCTGAGTAAAAGAGGTAGAGCTGATTAGCTTTAGACATTGTCTTCCACAGGTAATTCCCTCAATATCCCTGCAGCACTTGATTATAATCTTCCCATGAGCAGTTTCTCATTCAGGAGACTGAGAAAGTCATGGATTAAAAAAAATGTTTGGCAAAGTACAGAGTGATATGGTTTACCGGTGTCTGGTCTTCACCTTCAGGTTCATCTTCTTCACCTCTTTTTGACCTTCAGGGGTTTATAATAACTGATATTTGTAAAGGATGCAAAAGCAGGCAGTCCTTTCCTGTGCTCATTACTATAAATAGTAACTATCACAGCTAAGTAAATGTGAACACACAGGAAAAAATATCAAGAATATTGAGGAAAATAAATCCCTTCAAAAGAGAGAGAAAGAGACAGAAAATAACTAGTATGTAAACATCATAGAAGTATATGTTTTAGAAGACAACAGGAACTTAAAGTAAATATAATAAATACATAATATATAAGGAAAATATTATCAAAATGAATTAAACTAAAAAGAAAAAGTGTGAAGAAAAACATGGCAAGAAAAAATGTTGAAGTCTTTCAGAAAGGAAAGCATTATACTTTTTAACAGTAAATGTGACTGTACAAAATATTAATAATACTTTTAAAGTATTGATGTAAGAGAACATTAAACCTGTAATTTTAAATTTAGCCAAATAGTCATTCAACTATAAGGAAATGTATTCTCAAGCATATAAGTTGTCACAAGTTTGGCATGTAAAGATTTACACCGAAATCAATTTTGGAAGAAATACTTAAATAAAACAAAAATCCAAAATAGATGATATTGTGTGAGATTTGTAATACAAGGTGAATAAAATACTTGGTAATTTTGTTACTATCTTTTAAAAAATGAGACTAAAAATAGAAAAGAAGGGAAAATAAGTATAGTACCTAAAACTTAAAACTGTAGATTGAAAATCCAGATAGTATTAGGGAGTACAGAGGTTAAGAGGGGATATCAAAGAACATGAGCACTTGTGTTTTATTCTGTTTGCAGCTTCTACTGAAAACACAGGAAAATACAGCATATAACAAATCTGGGAATGTTATAAACAGCAAAAATTTACTTGTCACATTTCTAGAGACTGAAAATTCTGTAATCGTGGCACCAACAGATTTGATAGCTGGGGAGAGGATCATTTTCTCACTGTACTCTCACATGCTGGAAGGGGAAAAAGAGCTCTCAGGGCCTCTCTTATAATGATACTAAGCCCATTCTGAGGAGTCCGATTTTATTACCTAATCAATTGCCAATATCCTTGCATTTGAATGGGAGGAGGGCACAATATTCAGACCATAGCAATATGCTACAGTTTGCTTTGTTATAAAAAAAGATAGATATATCAATTCAAAAAGTATAAGAAAATACTAAAAGGCAAGACAGAAGGGAGTAAATTGGCATAATATTCAAACATAGTAGAAACAAAACTGAATATATAAATACAATAAATATAAATGGACAGAATTTCTAGGTTAAAGATAGAGATTTTTCAGTTTGAATATTTTCTGAAAAATCTAAATACATGCTTTTTGTAAGTGGTAATTCTAAATTGTGAGGAAGTGTTGATGATAATAAAGCAATAAGAAATGTAACCATTGAAAGAAAACCTTTTAGCTGTATAAGTAATAGCCCAAATAGACTTACAGAAATATCACTATGGATAGAGGTCTTTACATATTGATATAATTAATCACCATGAAAGATAAAATGATTATAAAATAATAGTCAATAGCTGCAAAATATATAAACAAAAATCAATAGAATTATTGCAATTAGAGGAAATTCCAAAGTATGCATTTTTCTCAATTATGATAGGTTGCTAGTCAAAATATTAGCAAGGACATAGAAGATCTAAATAACACAATTAATAAGACTGACATCTTAAACACATGTAAAATTCTACATCCAACAATTCAAAAAATATGCATTTTTCTCAAGTACATAAGGGAGAATTATAAAACTTGATGATATATTTGGAAATAAAAAAAGCCTCAACAGTACACATGGACACAAAGAAGTGAATAATAATGTGAAGGCCTAGTTAAGGATGGAAGGTACAGGGAGTGTGAGAGCTGATCAAGTATCTATTGGGGACTATGAATATTACCTGAGTACTAAAATAATCTCTACACCAAACTATCATGACATACAATTTATGTATGTAATGTAACAAATGTATCATGACATACAATTTATCATGATACATTTGTTATGTATCATGACATAACAAACTATCATGACATCAATTTATGTACGTAATGTAACCGATGTAACAAACCTGCACACGTACCCACTGAACCTAAAATAAAAGTTGGAAAAAAGTCAACAAATTTCAAAAAGTAGGTATCATACAGACAATATCTGTCACAGTGCAACTGTGGTAGACATTAGTAGAAAACATTTCTGAAGAAAAATCCCCACACATTTGAAGAAAAACCTTATTTTTAAATAACTTGTGTATTAATAAAGAAATTATAATAAAATTTTAAGTAAAAGTTTAGAACTGATAAGATGTGAGATAAGTAAATGCTATTTTAAAATAATATGTTGAAACTTCTGGTTTCCGGTCCTGCAGACAAGGAAGTTGGAGAGTGCCATTTTGTCCTAACCAGAAAAACACTAAACTGATTGAAAAGCAATAACTCTTCTTGGAGTCATAAAAGAGGTGAGGACACATGGCAAAACACTGTCTCCGAGATTGAAGAGGCAAAGCAAACACAGGGAGTTATAAACTGACTTTCTGAAGCAGAAACTCATAATCAGAAACCACATAATAAACAATGCTAGGCAATAAATAAATAAATATCTGTACTATAATTGAATTGCTGGAATCTCAGTGTGAACAAGTCTGAGAGCTAAACACTCCAGGGGGACCCAGTCAAGAACCCCCTTTTTATGAATGTTCTCTCCAAGGTTATAAGATCTCAACCTGGATCTTATAGTAAATGTTGGAGAAAAAAAAAATCCTCTCATTCCATCAGTGTGAAGGCAAGAGGAAGCATTTTGAAATAAGCCAGAGCATTCTGTTCTTAACAGGAATTATAGGACTTGCCCTCAGGAAAAATTAGATAATTGGAATCTCATAAGCTCTGGTGTTATCTGAACCTAAGTAACTTGATGTAAAGGAAATACCCAACTTCAGCTAATCCTAAACTTCCATATGAAAGAGAAAATTACCCAGCTCCAGCCCACTGTAGCCATTCTGTTCTGCCTAGAAGGAAAACAATTAAAACAAACAAAAAAACAATAACAACAAAAAAACAAACACAAGAAGCACTTATGAAATTTACAGTCCAGAGGTAGAGCTTCATTCATAGACTGATACCTAACCATGGAACTATAGGATGCCTCCTCTCCTGACAGTGCCTTACGAAGACATTTTTAAAGGCCTCTGCATCGGGGTTTTTTTTTTTTTAATCCAATACATTCTGTCTCACATTCAAGAAAATGTTACAAGTTACCTAAAAGGCAAATAACACAATTAGAAAAGATAGAGCAAGAATCAGGACCAATCTCAGGTATGGCAGACACACTGGAATTATCAGATTGGGATTTTAAAACAACTGTGAGCAATATGCTAAGGGCTGTAACAATAAAAGAGACAGCATATAAGAACAGTTGAGCAATTTAAGCAGAGATAAAAATTATAAAAAAGAGCCATAAACAAATGCTAAAGATCAAAACACTTTAGCAGAAATGAAGAATTTCTTTGATAAGCCATGTTAG